CCTGAGGAAACAGGTGAGAATAAATGCCAAGGTTTCTCAATGTCCATCACCTGGTCAATACATCCCCACACTCATTAAGCAGATTCATAATATTTACTGTATTGTTTGTGTACTCTCAATTTCAGAGGTTTAATGCAGACTATGAGCTGTCAGCCAGACAAGGAGCCGACACCATGGCTTACATCGCTCTGCTGGAGGAGAAACTACAACCAGCTCTGGTAACTCCCTCTCTCTGCTTGTGTCCTGACAAGAACTAACCTATGACTTCTGTTTATACTCAAAATGATGCTTTGTCTCCCACAGATGCACACTTTCTGGGTGGATGCAGAAAACTACGTCAATCTAACACGGCCGTGGTTTGCTTCACGCTCACCCTTCCCTCTCAACTTTATCGTCCCGGGTCGCCTTGCCAGCATCGCCCTGTCCCGCATCCTGCTAACCAAAGGAGAGGCGCCACTACACCGAATCACTGAGGTGGAGGGGAAGGTACATATTGACAAATTGTTTCAACTCTGACTGCAAAATACTCTTTTTCACACTGTAAACCTCTCTCATTGTCTGCCTCAGCTCTACAGTGATGCTAAAGAGTGCCTGAATCTCCTCTCATACAGACTGGGAACTGCAACATACTTCTTTGGCAACTCGTGAGTTCTTTAATGTCATTTAAAGGAACATAAATGTAGCATTGGAAATTGGTACTGAGTACAGTTTTATTATTTGTTATCACAGAAAAAAATATATTGATGTCATAAAAAAGTAATAGAATACTATGTGATAAAAAGTCATATAATAGAATGTGATCAGAAAAGTCATTAAATCCTCCTAAAAAAACTAAGAGTGTACCATGTCACAAACAAATATCATTACATTTCGTTGTATATTATCCAACAGAAAAAGTCAGAAAAGTACAAGTTTATGTATATAACATGTAGGTGCAAAGCTATTGGACAAAAATCTGGAAACATTGAGATGGAAATATTTTAGATGTGGGGTTAGGAGTTTATACTGGTGTTAGTTCACTCATTGAAGTTGTTAAGTTGATGTTCATCACATTAGAAGGAATGGCAAAGTGTTTGAAAGTATTTCAAAATGATTCATTGTAAATCATTATGTTTTTAAAACACTGTCAATATGAGTAATACTGTTTAGATATCTAATAGCCCAATATATCTCCCGTTTTGTTTGTGTTTGTAGGCCAACCAGTCTGGACGCCTTTGTGTTTGGCTTTTTGTCTCCACTTTACAAAGCGGGTCTCCCCAGCAGCCCGCTGCAGAGCCACCTCCAGCAGCTGCACAACCTCACAAGCTTCTGTGACAACATCCTCGCTCTCTACTTCAACGCCGACCGTCCATGTAAGATCGCTGCACCCACTGGAGATGCTCACACACTTGGTGGAGAGGAAATGTATATAAAAAAACAAAAGCACATGCATAACTAACATCATCAGCATTTTCCTTCTTCGCACACCTCTGTTTCTCTGCACGCTTGCCCTTGTATCTGCTTTATTGGTCTAACACTCTCCATTGACTCTCTGCTATCTTCTCCTCTGGGTGGCCCCTTACGCCTCTTCTCTCCAGGTCCTCCCCCACCTGTTCAGGAAACAATGGATGCCAACCTCCAGAAACTAACTCAGCTTGTAAACAAAGAGTCCAACTTGATAGAGAAGGTGCTTCTGCTTTCCTTTTGCCGTCTCTTTGCATGGGTTCATTGTTGCTTTTGGCAGATACCGTCTCAGCTGTAATGAAAGTATATACAGTCAATTCTCTCTCAACTTACTCATTATCATAACATGATGTGCTCTTACTAACTTTGACATCCTGTACTGTAGATGGATGACAACCTCCGCAGCAGCCCTCAGCACAAACCCCACAGAGTAGACCCCAAACCCAGCGAGAAGAGCTCCACACCTGCGTAACCCCCGACCTCTCCACCCTGATCCAGCCGAAAGAAAGGAAAGGGGCAGCTCTGAATCCAACTCAACATCCTAAAATCCCCCAGAAATATCCTCCAGCTGAACTATAGTTTGAATGGAAAAAAACCTAATAATGGAGTTATGACTATGATTATAAAAGAGACTATTTAACAGAGACCTAATGATGATAGATTTCAAAGATGCTGGTCTGAGAGAGAAGGAAAAGTGCATGTGTGAGGTTTTTAAAAAGGTTAAGTGCATGTATGTGGTTATGGATGGAATGCTAAGAAGTGGTGTTTAATGAGAAAGACACAAAGTCTAAATGAAAGCTGAAGGAAATGAAAAGTCCAGCAGGGAAGAGGTGGCCCTGTTTGACCTGAGAGTGGACCACTTAAAGGAGCAGTGTAGGAGTTAGTGGCATCTATCAGTTAGAAGTTATATTTCTACATAACATATTCCATTACTGCCAATAAGGCCACGTTTTTTAGTGCGGCTCTACTCGATTCTTCTCCAATGCGTAGGGTATCGAAAAACTGTAGCCTGGGTGATAAGCTAAGGTACGCTCCTTGATACTGCCGTGTAAATGGGAGACTTGCTGAATCATTTCAACTGCAACAAAACCGAGGAAAGTCTGCATTCCTTGGTTTACAGTTTAGTTTTTCCGGCTGCCATTTATTCAAAAAACCTTGGTGTAGTTAAAAGAAAAGCAAATGTGATCGCTATTGATAAAGCAAACGCCATAAATCCCCTTCATTCCACAATAATGGCCCTGGAACCTCTTCTTCCTTTTGATTCCTGTAGGAAGTATGTACTTTTTCTACAACCCTTTATATTTAACATATTTAAAGGTATAGTATGCAGTTTTCCCCCCAAAAAAGCGATGCATAGACTCCCTTTTAATCACCACTAATGACTCTGATGGTGTGTGGAGATTTATCAGCAGAGACCCTGCCCCCCTAGAGTATTTTCTCCTTGTTTTTTTCTGCGTCCAGGTTGTTTCTAAGGGTCATGGTGGACACAGCCAGCATCCCTAAGTGGACAAAGCTCATTCCAGTCTGAGGTTGGCTTTTAGCTTGCTGTATGTGACGCAGCATGTGGTTCACTGTGTGGTCTCCCACGTCTGGTGTATATGAGCTGGGGGGAGGAGGGGACATCTGATCTTTTACAAACGGCAAAGCAACAATTCCTGCATAGTATGCCTTTCAAGATATCACTAAAATATGAAATCTGTGCTAAAGCACCTAGATTTGTTTAGATATCTGATGTTATTCCAGTTTATAAATCTGTGTTATACCCTGAAAAACATGGGTCCCAGATCCTTTAGCGCCACTCTGAGCTCACATCCTCCTATCTGCTGTAAAAAAAGAAAAACCTGTGATTTCTAATGACATTCAGTTAGACTAATATACAGTAGGTGTGCAGTGGTGACTATAGGAATATCCTAACATTAGCTTTCTTTGCTCTCACCGCCTCTGCTTTGTAAAGATGTATAGTTGTAAATATGTTCATGATTCAAATCAATGCAATGCTCCCTCTATTAGAGCCGGATAGCTCCTTCACACTCTGCTAGATACACGGAGGACATTTATACTTTATACTATATAAGTTATTCACAATATGTGGGACTAATCTGTGTTTGTGTGTATGAGAAACCAGTGTGTGTCTTTTAATTATAATGTATTGTTTATGCAAGATGCTCTGTCTCATTAACAAACCACTTACTGTTGTTGCCATGGTTCTCCACTGTTTTGCAATCTTTGTTTGTTTAGATTTTCTGCTATGTTGTATGTTGTGCCTATTTAACGTTTATCATGTTAAAACTGAGGTGTCTGTCCCATTTGGTAATGTCTCATTAGCTGCCTTTTTTTTCTTCTTACTTTAACCGTCTGAATGTCTGAAATTGGACAGTAAAATGAGTTGCCACTATTCTTTACTGTTTTGTTCCCTAATTTTCTCACAGCCTAATGCATGTTTACTCCACGTTCATAGCTTCCCTGGGTGTCAGTCCAAAGGAAATAACTCTTGTAAAGATAGTTTGGCTCATGCTAATTCCCTAAAATCACTTCATGGTTCCATTCTCGGTAAAGCACTGCATTCTGAAACAAAAGTGTGTGTGTGTGTTTCCAATAACAAATCTTAGCGACCACAAACAGGCTGGTGAGGAACATATGGGTGTGTGTGCCTACACGACTGCGAGTGTCCTTGTACAATTGTCAACATGTTAACACTGTCCTTCATAATTTTTGTTTCTGTTCATTCTCTGTGGACGGCTGGTAACGACTCATCATATTATTGAAATACAAATAAGATAATCCAACTATGATCACTGTCTTTTTTTCTCCCAAGCAAATTAACGCTTAACATAATTTCCCTTGAAACAGTCAACATGGAGCCTGATTAAATGTATGAGCTGTTTGCAAGGCATGCTATTGGGTGATTTTCCAGTAGAAGATTTCACTGCTCACCATGCCTACTGAGTGATCAGCTGTTAGAGGATAGAGAGCTCTTTGTTTGGTTTTGGCCTTCGACTTGGAAAACATGAGAATGTTTAAGCTGTAGGGTAAAGAAGCATGCTGAACATCATCACATATTTTCTAAATCATCGGTCCTGTGAGGGAGAATCTTGAGTCTTATCTTGGCTGGCGTTGAATAGGTGTGGCAATGGGAAATAATTAGCACATCTGGATCTGTTGTCAATGTTGTGCTAAAGAAGATATGAATATGTTTTGTGAGCATCTCCTTAATGTAGTGATTTAATGCCACTTTTATCATCCCTTTTCTCTCAGTTATTTGTAGAATAAACCATGTCTGAGTCACAAAAACAGTAGTCTTCAGCAGTGAGATTGGAGCCTAACTTTCCTCTACAAGAGAAAAAGATCTTCCTGAGTTAAACTACAAATATTTCGCAACGCAGTGTTAGCAGTCCCATTCTCGGTGAAATGAGGCTGACAATTATAAAAAGCAGTGCAACAAATCACATGGAAGCCATCAGCTGTTCCCTGGCAGTCTTTATGTATTTACACCACAATCCCTTTCTCCCTTTCAATCCCCTCCTCTGTTTCCACAGGAATTAAGGGAAAATGCCTGGAGAAATAGTTTTGTAATAATTGTTAAAAGACATGTCCTCTGGAGAACCATGTAGCCTGTCTGAGGTGTATGGCTCCCACATCTACAGTAGCTGTAAGTCATCAAAATCAATCTGGACGGCTATTAAGTGCATGATAGATTTTGCAGGAGTTGTTAGGAACTAATTTTGAGCCGATATCACAGCCAATAATGGAAGGATTAGGCCCTCTGGTGGTAGGTGTGTGTTATGAGCTGAAAACAAACAAGTAGTCAAGTTGTGCAAATAGAAAAATAAACATGTTAATTCAGCTCAGATGTTAACATCAAGTCAAAGAGAGAAACAAAATGAATCTCCTCTTGCAACCAGTCTCACATAACAAAATATAGAAGAGGTCACATCTGTTTACAAAGGTTATTTACACAAATTCACAATATGAAATACAGTTCAAAAGTGCCACAGTATGTTTCTTGGAGCTATAAACTCCAAAATCAAAGGCTTTACTATTGTTTGAGTACAATGTGTGTTTCACTTCAATGATGAATGAAAACTTTAAATTAGTCAATCCTAGAACATTTACAGTAAAAAAAAAAATCAAATCAGCAAATATTATGGTCAAATTTACAAAATGATCCAAAACATGCCATTGACCAAACAAAGGAAGAAACTCAACTGTGGAAAAAAAATGCAAGGCACTCAATTTCAATCGAGTTGTTTTCCAGACTGTCATATTTTCACTGATTTTACAAGACAGCTTCTGCTTAAAAAATAGATACATGTTGGGTTTGTTTCCTGTTTATCAGAGACGGTGTGTTGAGGTAAACAAAAAAAAACACACAAACCAATAATTGGAGAAGAATGGGAACAAGTTAGTCCTCTGTCTTCACATCTTTTACATCCTGCATATCTGCAGTTTCATTTCAATTGTTATACGATGAGATCCTTCAAATCAAATGATGTCCAACATGAACTGTAAACTCCTCAGAGAGTGAGAGCTAGCTGTCCTTGGTAAACTCCGGCACCTCCTGCACCATGCTGACCTCCAGGCTGCCCGGCACCTCCAGGCCCAGAGCAGGGTGGCACGGCTGGGGGAAGCGCTGGCAGAAAGAGCCCAACACCTGCCCACTCTGAGCGTTGTAGAAAGACAGACGACCAAGCTTGTAATCCAGGAGAGTGCCCACCCGCTCAGGCATCTCCATCACAAACACACTGGACTGGACATCATTGTGCAGCAGCTGATAACTGCAGCTGGACAGAGAGAGAAAGGAAGAACAAGAGGTTTAGACCAGGGGTGTCCAAATTACAGCCCGCGGCCCATTTTGAAACGGCCCTCAGCTAATTAAAATAATATAATGAAATATGGCCCACAAATTAAACTTATGCTTGTCATATATTGTACTAATCAAATATATATGTACAAATATATATCAAAGTATTCATGTGTGCCCACTTTTCAAATTAATTAAATCAATTAAAGTTGGAAACATTTTCAAACTAATCTTAGTTGATATAAAAAGCCCAATCACTTATTTGCATAATAAATCTTTTTAGAAGCAATCTGAAGCTTCTGTTTTAAGCCATGAGCTGCACACTAAATAAATGAAACCCTATGGAGATCTGTGATGTAGGCTGTTGTGTTTCTTACAGCATTTTCAAGTATCAAGCTTAATTTACCTACATTTGATGATTTTGCTAACTTATAACTTAGCATATGAGGCAAAATACCTCACCTCTAGTGAGGGGCCCAGCCATTCATATATTTTTCTGTATGGGGCCCTCTGTGAAAAAAGTTTGGACACCCCTGTTCTAGACCAACACAGTGATGGGAAGTGCAATATATAAGGCAGTCAGGGAGTTCTTTATGCATACCCTGATGGTGTTGGGATACACTGCAAACACCATGACAAGCTGTTTTCTCCCAGTGGGCTGTTTCTATTGGCTGTGCTGTCTGCCACTCCGATCCTGTAAGCTGTGCTCCCTGACACCACGGTCTCCCAGTAGTAATGTCCGTGTGCCGGCAACAGCTCTCCCAGGATGGATGGACACCTGGAAAACACACAAACTCTCAGTTCAGTTTCAATTTGATACAAAAACAATTAAAAAGAACAGAAACAATCCTAAAACATAATAGAGATACGTGGGACACCATGATGAGCATTCTGAAGCTTGAGAATATGGGCCCAGACACTAACCATATAGTATTTAAAATATATACAGTGTTGTTTGTTATCATGTTTTAAAAAAAAGTAAATATATTAGACATTCTACCTACAAAACTTACTTTACAAACCCTGGATACCAAACTATGGTTCTAAAATATTTATAACATCAGTCCTAGCATTGGTATAATACAACAGGTACAATACAACAAATAGAGATGTTTAGCAAATGGGAGTAACAGTACAATTTTTAATTAGTATTAGAGTAGAGTTACTAGTTTAGAAGTCGCCAACCATTAAAGATATTAAGGCTTTAACATATTGTTGTAGCAACTGATTCCTTAAGATCTTTTAAAAACCGACTCAAATAAAGATGTTTGTGTTATACATTTGTTTTCCAGATGTGTGCTAACCATGCTAAAGCTTACACATTTACCTATTATGTGTAAACTCCTGTTGGAGTGGCCGAAGCCGGCTGAAACTCACTGTTTGTCTGTAGATTGTGTGTTTTCATGTGCGTCCTGAGAGTAGTGCACAGTGGTCTGATCCACTGACAGCTCCAGAGCAGGGTGAGCCGAGGCCTTCAGCAGGTGGAACCTCGTCCCTGAAGACAGAAACAGGTAAGAGACAATATCATGAGTGAATTATGTTCTGTTTTCCTATTTGTGTAATGTTACATCCAGACAGACTTACAGTTAAAGCGTGTGTTTAGTTACCTTTGCTGGAAATGAGGGCCGCCTCGCTCTGTTCGCTGGCTCCAGACTCATTCACAGCTTTGATGTAAAACAGATAATTCTCATTGGGCTGCAGGAGAACCTTCTGTTCACAGCTTCTGATCGCTGAGATGGACCTAAGTTGCAACACACACATGCAAACATAGATTAAAAGAAAAATGTAAAAAAAAATGATTAGTTAAAGTTAGGGTAGGTAAGAATGGAGAAACCAGCTCGAGTGCGCTAGAATTTGAAAATACGCAGCCGGAAAAAATCTGCCCCTTCCTTCCGACTTTCTTACAGAGCCCCTCCTCCAACACACACGAACGCGCACATGACCAATGAGGGCACGAGATAAGTTTGTGCACGAGAAAGGCTGACAGGCAGGTAGGCCATCCAGTTATTTTAGCCAGGCCGGCTTAGATGATTGGTCGTGCTTTTTACAGCGCTACGGCTTCCACAGATGAATTTTTTTTAATGTATTTATTGTCAAAGAATTTAATATATTCATTGCTATCGGGATGTTAAGAGCATTCCATGGAATATAACAAAAAGTGTTTCTGAAGTGAATTACCTACCCCACCTTTAAGCCTTTATTGATATTGATTTCGGGTAATTTCAGGTGTTGCATAATAAGCAGAAAGTCAGAAATAACTACAGCAAGCACTATATTCATGTCCTTACATTTTCATATCAGATATAGTTTCTTATGAGTATGTTTCGTACCAAATTGACCGACTTTCCATTTATTGTATTATTGCACATTTCTGTCTTTTCCACCTCTTTATATACATGAACCTATCTGTACACCCACCTGAGCCCCTCTCCCTCCAGCTCATACTGGCGACAGTACTCCAGGGTGTAACTCTGCTCTGGAGTCAGATTTGTTGAGCTCCATCGCAGCGTGGCTGAGTCCCACATGACAGTGCAGCGCTCCGTGTCGATCACTGGCACTGATGGAGCTGCCACAAAGAGAACAAGATGTCATTGACCTTTAACCTTTAAAAGTCTTTCTGGACCCCCAACAATATAGAAATATAACAGAAATGTCATAGAGTATCTTGCCCACAATGCCAGTAAAAAAAAGAGCAATGTTGTTGTGACTTTTAGCTTCAGTGTGTGTACTGACCGGTTCTGAAGGTGAGTCTCTCGCTGGGCAGAGAGCAGCCTGTGTAGTTGACGGCCATCACCCACACTTTGTAGGTCTTGTCAGGCTCCAGCTCCTCCAGCACACAGTAACTCTCCTTCACCGTCACACGGTACTCCTCTGACACCGCTGCAGACACAACACATGCACAGTGTTTATTAAATCAGAAAGTCAGTAAGACTTCATAGGTTTTGTGTAAATGGACCTATTCTAAATAAATAGAGGGAGTTAAACACCAAAAGAGGAAATACACGTATGTTCCATCTATGTGTTGTGCAATTTATTCATCTTGATTTTTTTTTGTCTGAGATGTAAGTGTTAGAGATACTGGCTATTGTCTGCTTTCTCTACAATATAATGGAACTCCAGTAGATGGGCCTTTGCTTATGGTGCTCAAAGCCGTAAACAAATATTTCCAGAAATCATGACCTGGCTTAGCTACTTAAGAAAATCCTTATATCTATAAGCAGAAAATATTTCTGAACTTTCCCATTAACAAAAAGTATGAATTAATTGGAATTTTAATGAAAATGATACATGAACTTAATGTCTGTTAATTAGTTTAGATGGTACATCAGTAGGTGGTGTTATACATAAAAGATGGGAGCACTTCCGCCAGCATATTCAAGTGTAAATACCATCCTGGACGTATTTACCTCCTTGTGGATCCTCCATGCAGTAGACCTGGAAGCAGTCTATGATGTCTCCAGGGTTGACCTTCCAGTAGACAGTGACGCTGGTGCTGGAGGCTGAGCCCGGCTCCTGAGCCTGCAGCGTGGGCCTCTGAGGCACTGAGGAGCACAGAAACTCAACATTCACAACTGCTACATATATGAAAAAAAAGCACAATAAATATGTGAGATGTTTCTGCAGAGATATGTTTACATCAGACCAACCTGGGATTCCTTTGCGCTGTGCGAGGTTTGAGCTGGAAGTGTTGCCCTTGGCGTAATCCTCGAACACCAGCAGGCCCTTGGGACCCAGCTCCAGTGACATGGCTGAGTCCAGAGCTGCCTTGAGACTGACCACACAACCACAGCATTTAGCCACAACTACAACTCAGTGACAAAACATATCTTTTGTATATCCTGAGCAGAGCAAAAGTGAAATTCTGACTGCAGATCAAGCAGCAGATTGTGTTGTTAATCACTTTCTAGTCAAATGTTGGTATTAACGGTATAAAAGGCCACATTAGCTCATCCTCCATTCACTAAAAAGCACATTACCTTGCATGAATTTCATCAGGTGACTGGTGGGAAAACAGATAAAAGAGGGTTTTATCAGATATGTCAAAAACCTTCATTGGCTGAAAATGATACCACAGATCAACCAGCTTCAGGACTCACCCGAGCGTCAGTCTCAGCCTCTCGGGCCGTGGTCTCCAGAGTGGCCTTGGCCGAGTCGATGCTCTCCTGGAACGACACAATCTGGTCGTAAAGCTGCTCCAATTTGGCTTTCTTCTCCTCCTCCATGCTGACAGACATGTTGTTGTACTGCTCCATCACCAGAGCCATCATCCCCTCATTCTGCGCCTGCATCGCGGCCTCGCTTTCCACAAACTGGTCCTAGTCGAGAAAAGAGGGGCGGAAAACAGAGATATTATATTTACAAATGTTTACAAATGAAATACTATGTATTATGACGTATTATATGTATTTGTCTAATGGCAAATAAAATATGTTGTGCCTTGTAGCCATCAGGCTCCACAACCAGGGTTAACCGTAACCCATCAAAAATAACCTGCAATAAATATTAATAATAATTGCACCCGCACTGGTACCTGCACATTTAAATGTTTATATATTTAACCAAGCCTACATATCTGTATATGTACATTCATACAGTACATACATGTTTATTCTTATTCTATATTATTTTTATTTTTATTAATATTATTATCCTTGTGTACTATCTTTCTTTCTTATTCTGTTGATGCTATAACACCTGAATTTCCCTACAAGGATCAATAGAGGTCCATCTTATCTTATCTTAAATATTCAAAAAAGGTATTGCATATTTTAGTATTAAATGTGGAGTAACTTTGTTTTACCTCTACAGAGTTGTAGGCCAGCTCGAGCTCAGACACCAGGTCCTCGATGTTCTCCGACCTGCCCTGAAGCTCTGAGATCCAGTCGCTCAGCTTCTCCTGATGAAACACACACGTGAGGGTAAGATGTAATGTTTATATCCCAAAGCGTCTGACAACAAGATACAGCTGGGATTATAGACATGTTCACAACTCCAAATCAAAAGAATACTTTCATTTACATGTTTAAATTAAAATAGCTTTTGTTGTTTTGTTATTATTCTTGTATTTATTCATTGTTTATCAATATTTACTATGACTATTTTTTGTATTAGTATTCATTCTTCTGCTGTACTCCTGCACCATTAAAAGCCCCTACAAAACATTATTACAGTACAGATTAACTACTGAAAATATACATATGTGCAAATGAATATTATCAGAAAGAAACTTGAACAATGTTAAACTATTCAGTGAAGAAAAATATGTTCATTGCACGTTTGTAGAAGTGACATTTCATGACAAACTAAGTCTTGATTCTTAAGTGTATGAAATTATGAATTGTATTAAGGCAATCTAATGGATCTGTACAATCCAAGTTAACAGGAGATGGATGCTTTCTGTTTTTAGACTGTAATAATAAGGAAGGATATTCTAGGAGAAACAGCAGTGCGATCCCCACCCAAACACTGACAGCTCACATTAAAGGCTGACAGCCACTCCTCTAAGGGTCCAAAGACAGGTGTGTGTGTGTGTGTGTGTGTGTGTGTGTGTGTGTGTGTGTGTGTGTGTGTGTGTGTGTGTGTGTGTGTGTGTGTGTGTGTGTGTGTGTGTGTGTGTGTGTGTGTGTGTGTGTGTGTGTGTGTGTGTGTGTGTGTGTGTGTGTGTGTGTGTGTGTGTGTGTGTGTGTGGGTGTGTACTTGTGTGTCTATATGTGTGAGGAAGAATGTTTGAGCATACTTGCACACATCCATGTCTGAAGAGTGATAGCAGTCGAGCATTGCACATATTAGTTTAGGATTGGACTGGAAACAGATTGGCAAAATTGTTTAGGTAAACTTTGATCAAGTTTCTCCCTTTGTGGAAAATCTGAATAGACTGCACACCTTGGTGCTGAGGTCATAATTGCAAACTAAGCTTTGATATTTGTCTCAAATATCATCTAGAATATAATTTAGAAATGACATTTGATCATCTTCAATGTGTTGCAGGTAATTTCCTAAATCTTTAGATGCAAAAAGCTGTGATTATTTACCAAATGCACATCGTCAAGTCATACTTGTTCTCTAAAGTATCCTCACTGATTACAGAATAACAATAGAAAACATATACATATATTGTATCTGTGAATAAATGGCTTAAGGTATGAACCTGCAGGTTAAAAACTGGACCGATGGCTAGTAAAAGACCCAAAAAATGTTGATTGCTATTAAAAAGCAAATGGCTGACCCTGTGCTGACCTGCTGACCCATAGGGATAGTCAGGGAGAATAGTGTGTTTGTTTGTCTGTGTGTGTGTTAACAGATCACATATCAGTCTCCGCTTTATGACACACTGGACCGTTCCCCATTTTAAAGTGGAGCATTACATCACGACAGTTCAATGTGCTTGGCTGCAGCCTGATAGCAGTGTGAGGTCTGCCAGCATTAATAAAAGGTTATATCCCACTCTCTTTGGATTACTTTATTCTACAGAGACTCAAACTAATGCCAGCAAAGTGTGCGATGATCATAACCCTGTGTTGTAATAATGCTGATGGAGTATATGATGATGAGCTGCTCTTTAATAACAGTATGCCATCAGACATCAGAACTGCATCTGAGTTGTTTCAGTGGTAGCAGCCTGCAACATTTGTAAATAAAACGGAAACTGGGAGATGCTGGGAAATCTCTGAGGCCACAAACAGAACAGTAAAAAAACATATACTCGGATCGACAAAGGAATTCTTCTAGATTTTGTTCGATTTTTGCTCCAAAATGTTGAACTATAGTCATTTACATATTTGTTTTTATTTTGCTCAATCCTTTGGGAAGTGTTTAGTGTGTTATATTTCATTTTACTAATACTGTGCATTATAAATAAGTCATACATTTGACTTACGGCATACTTTTAATAGTTATTGATGGTCTACATTTGACTTACTACTACTTATGAATAGGGTCATAAGTTATACATCAATTATGTTTGCTTCAATAACAGTTTTTGCAAACACTGTTGACACCCCTCTCAGATATATTAGTATTAGTCACTGCACACACACAGACGTACTTTTCTGTAGCAAACTCTAGAACCATGTAACCAGCTCAAATCCATATTAGGTGATAAAACAATGTATGTTATATGAGCTGTTTAATATAAAACATGCTCCCAGGCATTTACACAGTACATTACCTTGATTTCCTCATAGGCCTTGTCCACAGCAGTCACTTCGTGGTCGTGATGTTCCCCCGAGCTGCAGTCGTCTTCTGCCAGCAGACCGCCACAGGTCAGACAGAACCAGTCCATCCCCTGCAGCTCTGCAGCCAGCTGGGCCTGACTCTGCTCCTCTGCGTCAATGATGTCATAATCAGCTTCAATGACCTCTTCTTCTGGGGACACATCAAGGACTTTCTCCTCCGCCTCCTCCATCTCCATCTCCATCTCCATCTCCACCTCCATCTCCATCTCCATCTCCATCTCCATCTTCTGTTCTTTCTCCTGACCAGACTCCAGTTTTGGTTCCTCTACATCTCTGTGTATCTCAGGTTCGGGCATCTTTTTGACATCCTGTTTAGATATGATCTCATATCCAAGCTCCTCAACAATGTCCTCTTGAGCCTCTTCAACTTCCACATCTTGTTCGATCTTTTGGTCTACATCCTCTTTGTGCAGATCCATTTCTGGAATGAAATCCTCTTTAACAGGCCTTGTTTCTGGGGCCTCTTCCACTGTGGGCATTTCTACCGTTTGTTCTACATCTGCTGCTTCTGACTGTCTTTCCTCTGGCTGTAGCTCAGACAAATCCTCCTGGGGAGTAAAGCTCCTCAGAGTGGAAACAACACCCTCGTCTTCTATAAAGTCCAACTCCATCTTCTGCTCCTCTGTGTTGCCCTCCTCCGTAGTTGCTGGAGGAGAGTGCGTAGTGTCAAACTCGTTTCTGGGTAGAACGTCTTCCGGCTGTGCAACGTTTGTTTTCAGTTCCGTCATTGTTTCTTCATTGAGAGCGTCAAGAGTCTCTGGGCATGTTGTGAGGGGTTCAGATTCGTTGGTATGCTCCTCTGCAGTTGCTGGAGGAGAGTACCCAGCATCAAACTCCTTTCTGGGTAGTGTTTCTATCTCTGCAAACTCTGGGTCTACTTCCAGTTGAGGCTCGATCATTGTTTCTTCGTTTGGTGCCTGAATGGTCTCTGGGCATGTTGTGATGGTTTCAGGTGCTGGAAGGGAAGACCTTGTGTCTAACTCATTTTGTGGAAGAGCCAGTTCCTGTTGTGCAACCTCTGGTTCTACTTCCAGTTGAGGCTCTGCCGTTGTTTCTTCATTGGGAGCCTGAAGAGTCTCTGGGCATACTGTGGTGGGTTCAGATTCTATGGGATGCCCCTCTGCAGTTGCTGGAGGAGAGTACTTAGCATCTAACTCGTTTCTTGGTAGTGTTTCTATATCTACAACTTCTGGTTTGACTTCCAGATGAATTGTTTCTTCATTAGGAGCCTGAAAAGTCTCTTGGCATACTGCCGTGGGTTCAGGAGCAATTATTGGTTCACATGTGCTGTCAGGTTCAGAAAGAGTTACTGTATCACTTGTAGACTTCTCTGATGTCTGACTGAACTCGATGTCCACCTCTACAACTTGTCCTTTGGGAACAAGGAGGATAAACTCATGATCTACATGAACCTTCTCCCGAGCAACACTCCCAGTTACCTCAGCGTTGGCTTCATCGTTGGCTTCAGGTGCGAGCTCACTGTCAGGCATTGACTCATGCTGTGTTTCCTGTGAATCCATCTTGACTTCTTCTGGCATCTCCGGTTCTATTACTTCACTTGAAATCTCTGCTTTAACCTCTGGCTCCTGATCAGCTTCAGCGATATCGATAATTAATTCCGGGGACTGGCTCTTGACTGCGGTTTCATCTGTTAGAGCGCTGTCTTCCCCTTCAGGAGCTGCTGTTTGAATGTCTTTTGTCTCAGTACTTGTTAATTCCTGAAGATCAATCTGAACTTGAGTTTGGATCTCTTTTTCATCCACTGCTTTTTCAGTTACCTCCACCAACGCATGTACTGCAGAATCACAGTCAGTGAGGAGGACCTCTACAGGTGCAACGTCCTCAGGAACACCTTCTGCTGCTTCTTGTTTCCCACCGATAGATGTTTCAGCCGAGGTGTGCATTTCCTGTCTTTCAGTCTCAGGTTCTTTTACTTCGGCAGGAGCTTCTGCTATGGCCTCGGTTTCTACTTTCTCATTAGCAGCAGCCATCTTAGTTTCAGTACTCTCCTCAGACAAACTCTGCTCAGGGATGATGTGAGGCTCCTCACTGTCTACAGGCGCTGCAGCAGCTGTCTCCTCTGCAGCGTCTACCTCCACCTGAGCTGTTTCTTCTACCACTTCTTGTGTCTGACGCGGCTGCTCGGCTTCAACAATGCTAGTTGTTTCTGATGGCAAATCCCTCTCATGTTCCTCGCTTTCCTTTGCTTTCTCTACTTTACTGTCCACCTGTTGAGTTTCAGGAAGTGGTTTTTCAGTGTGGCTCTCGGTAGGTTGGATCTGGTCTTCTTTTACCTCATGTTTCACCTCCTGGTCCTCCATCTGATCATCTCCAAGTTTAATATCCTGAATCAATTCCTCTGAAGCTTCTCTGACAGCTTGCTCTTCAGTCACAGCAGAGAGTTGTATTTCCTCTTCCTTTCCTGCCACTGCAACTATTTCTCCTTTCTCTTCAAATGTTGCTGATTGTAAATCTTCACTTTTATCTTCAACAACCTCCTGTGTCTGTTGTTCCTCTGTCTTGTCCTCCTCGTCCTCTTTGTCCACTCTTGTAAGACATCCTGTTATGTCAAACCTACTCTGCGACCATATAACCCTTCCCTCCTTCTGACCCTCCTTCTGACCCTCCTTCTGACCCTCCTTCTGACCCTCCTCTGACTCTGGTTGAACCTCCATCGAGGGAATTTCATCCTTCAAAGTAAACTTCTCCAGGTACCCTTCCTCCTCTGAATCTGAAAAGCGTCTCCTGTAGGTCTTCTCTGATGAAACGCTCTCTGCCTCAGAGTGTTCCTCGTCGCTCCTTGTCCTCTCGCCTACAGCATCCTCGTAAAGGTCAGAGTACATGAAGGACATGGCGGTGGGCTCATCCAACAGGATTTGGTCGATGATCTTAGGGGGTCCAGAGGAGATAAAAATGGGCGTGAGGATGGTGTCTTCACCCCCAAACAACACAGAGCCTTTCTCCTTCACAGATCTCTGGCTTTCTAGTCTCATTCCCATCCTACCCTCAGCCTCATCTTCATTGCTCCGCTGCAGCGCATCAGCAGGAGCTCCTTCTCCGTAAAAGACCTCATCCAGGTGTTCCCCAACTATATCCACATCTGTAACAAAGTCAAAGGAGTCCTCCGATGCAGACAGGCTGTCTGTGGCTGTCTCCTTTTGCTCCTCAACTTTGGGCTTTGCTGCAGGCTGTTCTTCCTCCTCCTGCTGCTCTGGATCTTCTTCCTCAGGAACCGCCACATCAACCATGGTGAACGGCTCGAAGTAATCTATGTCCGCTGTGCTCTCCTTCTGAGTGTGTGCGTGTCTGTGCTCTGTGTCCTCTGACAGCTGAGAAGAGTCTTGCTTTGAGTGCTGAGAAAAGATCACAGTCAGTAAGTTAATCTATAGAGGACAATTCATTGTTTTAAACAGTATTTTATGATTGAATTTGACTTGAATAGCAGAGAAAGGCAATCAAAAACGAAATGCATGTTAGTGCTGGATTGAGATACCTAATAATAAAACACATGTAGATCAATAAGATAAATCAACTCATACCTCATGGGGATCCAGTACTTCCCCCTCCTCCTGCAGGGCTGGATTCTGTGTCCAGTCATGGTTGTTTCGGGACCTGATCATTGGTGTCTGGTCCAAATAGGACAAATTGTCCTTCAACTCTGTGCTCTCTTCCTCATCCACAGTGGGAAGTTTGGAGGGGACTCTGATGTTGAGAATCTCATAACCCTCTGAAATCAAACTAAACAGCTGCTGATCTTTGTTTTTGATTTCCTCCAAGTCCGGCTCTGTTTCGCTTTTCTCCTTTTTAATGTTAGGAAGAGACACCCCCGCCATCTCAGGTCGCTCCACTCCCAGGACTGAAGCCGACCTTGAACTACCAGGTCGGCTCAGCCTGTCCCCGAGCCGGCTCCTTCCTCCGGACCTCGTCCTCCTGCGGATGACTTTCTCCTCATCAAAGACGATGGTGATCTTTCCTGCGGCTCCAGGCCCCTCCATGCTGTAGGCGTCAGAGGTGGAGCTGGTCTCAGAGGCCCATGGCGTAGAGCAGCGGCTAGAGGCCGTCTCCCAAACAATACCGCTGTCCTCGCTCTGAACGGTCACCATAGAGAACGATTGATCCACCATCAGGCACTGGAGTTGTGGCTTCACAGACTGGTCCTGGACAGCCTCTCGCAGACTAGAAGTCAGAGAAATGTATATAGTTAGAGAAAGAGAGCAAGGTGTTTGTGCAGGAAGAGGAAGGGAATGACTAAACAGTGTGCAAGAGGAGATCCTGTTGCCACAGCTTTTGAAACCCAAGCTGAGGACAAACCAATGAATCAAAGCAAAACATATTTGTACAAGATGTGCCACCATGGAAACAACCAACACCAATTCAGTTTTTGCACCTGAGGCAACTAAGCTGAAAACGCATTAACACCCGCTAATCTACCCTTAAAATGTTGACTTGAGAAGTGTAGATCTCCGGGATTAAAACCATGTGCTGTGTGCCAGGCTGCCAAATGTGAGCGACGAGCTGAACAAAAATGATCAGATGTGCTCTGAGCTGTTGCTCCTGCTATCAATACAGCTCAGCCCCTGCAGGGTTACAGAAAGGTGACGTCCCAAAGCGTCATTTCTGTAATATTAGAGAAGAGATGCCTGGCCTTCCCAAATACATCCAACATATCAGTGTCCTCCACTATTTATGACAAGAAAAACTAGAGCAGCCAGTATGAAACATGATAAATGAGATGTAAAATATGGGACGGTGAATCATATCAAATGATAGAATAGAGCTGTTTGCAATGCCAGACACCTCCCTGTAAAAGCCGAGGAACAGATGATATTTTAATGTTAGATGAAATGAGTGCTGCCTTGTTTTACTTTGATACGCTCTTCAGACTGACACATGTTTTGGAGCTAAGAAGCCCAGAAACAAGTGGTTTCTTATAGCCTTCATTCCATATTTTTGATGATAGGATCTCTCAGCAAAAAAGACACCAGTTCACACTAAGATAAAGTGAGTGACAATTGAGGTATTTCAGCTTGTAAGATGTGTAAAGCACCTGTTCCGCAGTTCCTCCTCCTCGTCTTCATCGTCCTGGCTGAGGGCCTCTGAAGCTTCGCTCTGAACCTCCTGCAGCTCGGTCATCTCCGAGTCCAGACTCTCACACTCCTCCATCTTGGTAATATCCTCCAGCTCTTCCCTTTGTAGCCCCCACGGTTGTTTTTTCAGTGAATTTCAGAGTCCCCTTGGAGTTTTCAGCCACCCTGATTCCGGAGGAGTTGGTCTGCCTGTTTGTGTCATTCTAAGTTGGGAGCAGTCCATCTGACACAGCCCGGGACAAAAATAGGCTGAGAGAGGAACGAGAAGAGGGGTGTGGAGCTAGAGAGGGGAGCAGCTAGAGAGGGTGGGTCTCACTGGGTCTGGGAGTTTGTTGTTAGTGAAATTAACAAAAGAAGTTAGGTGACGAAGTTGCCATGAAAAGATTCTTATGCATTTGGGGAAATCCTCATTATTTTTGGTCAGTGCAAGATGAATGAACCAGTGGGACTTTAAGAACAAAATCCCCTCGCTGAGTTAAATATAGGCCGTGTGCTGAAACAGTACCCCCTGGTCCCCCTGCTGCCGGTGGCAACACTAAACAGACACGCACGCACGCACGCACGCACGCACGCACGCACACACACACCCCCCCCCAGGGTGAGTTATCTACCCCCCACCAGCACTGGCACTATACAAAAACCATAAAACAAGTCTAATAAGGTGTCAAACCACACAACAAAAACTAACTTGAGCACGAGCTGCCAGAGGAGGCGTCAGAGAACATTTTAACTTAAAATGTGGACATTCAGGAGCCAAGGCTTATGAATCAGCACATAAAACATCATCCTAAATGACTTCAGAATGATGGTCTAGTCGGCATTACCTCGAGGACAAAATTACATGAAATATCAGGTGAACGGGAGGGTAATTGTGCTTATGGTTAATATATGTTTCAGGTTAAAGGGGCCCTATTCTGCTCATTTTCAGGTTCGTATTTGTATTTTGTTCCTCTACTTCGAGATGTTTACATGCTTTCATGTTCAAAAAGTGCTTTATTTTTCTCATACTGCCTGTGCTGCAGCACAGCTGGCCCTGTCAATCACTTAGAGATGTCCCGCCCCTTATTCTATCACGTACAAGGTGTTGGAGTGCTAGCCAATAGAAGTGTGAGTGTTACGTAGTGATGTCACTGTCTCAGAAATAAACAAAGGAGTCTAATAAAGAATTTGGGAGAGAACCTCCCTCTTTCGTAATATTTGGGATTTTAGTCTTTGACATGCACAAAAACCTAACGCACTACAGGAAAGGGAAAACCCCAAAAATCACAATAGGGCCCCTTTAAACATCGTTTCTGTGGATAAAATCTCTAATCCTGATTCTTATTTCCAAGGTGATCAAATATAATTATGTACTATTTATTTTGAACTTCTATCAGCTCCAACTTGTCTGTAGCAAATAATTCAACATGCTTAACATCAAGCTCAAAAATATGAAAGACACACTCGTCATCCTCAGATATTTTATTTTTTTAATAAGCATTTAAAAGTTCAGTTTTGAGCAAAATGTACAAAAAGAGAAAATATAATCTGGAGAAGAATTAAAAAAAAGTCACGTCAAAGTGTAGATTATTTAAATAACTTATGCATTGAATGAACAGAATAATGAATGAATAGCATGAATTTATGTCCAAATAAATCAAGTAGATGAACTCAAATGACACAGCATAGGTCTATCAAGGGAAATGAATACAGCTCATCAGGAGCAATGAGGAAGAAGTGTCAACATCCAGAGTGTGGCCCCCCGCAGCCCTCTAATGATTCCCACAGTCACTTATACTATAACACCAACTTAAACAAGCTCAGTTTTAGGGGATTTTAGCAACTTAAAGATGATGAATTATGGAAAAAGGAGAGGATAGATATAGAAAACAATGTCTATGGATGTTTAAACCCACGATAGCTTCACCACTGACCTAGAAAAATAGAACGAAAGGTTCTGATATTACAAGTTGGTCCATACCGGCTGTAGACTACATACTGTACATACTGTATGATGCAAATTATTGGCACCTTCTTTAAAACTATGGCTCCAACAATGTGGATACAAATGTAACTGAGATGAACATGAACATGAACAGAGCAGTCGAACCAAAACGTTGCCGACTTCAGATTCTAACAGATTGCAGGAAGTATTTTCATCCTTTTTCTATATTCCTAACTACTTTCCAGTAATGCCAATCGAGTTGATAAAGAGTGTTATGTAGCAGCTATAACCATCCTTAATAACACTGACCATTATTATCCTGCTTCAGTGCAGCCTCCCACTGTAACCAAATTAGGATTTCAGAGCCCTCTGGTGTCACTTCAGAAATATTATATTTTTACATTTAGTTTCAATTATTTGAAGTTATAGAAGCATTTGAAAGTGAGCCCAGTATTTCCAAGTACAAGTACTGCCACTGGAAAAACCCTATGTGGCCCATATCAAGGCAGCGAGAGCATTCAGAGTCTTTTTTTTCCTGGCTGTGAGCACATCCAAATGGGTTTTTCTTTCCGGGGACAGGCCTCTCTTGAGGTAGAAGACTCCTGTCCGCTCGTCGAATGAGAGGAACCCCTTATCTCCTGGAGGACTCCTTATTAATGATTTCTCTGACTGGGAGGATGGAGTTCAGGTCCTGCACGTCCTCTAGTATCCGGTATGACTGCGCAGACACACAGATGAGAAGCAGAGGATTATGAATAACTCATGGCTGGCCCAGAGGCAGCTTAGAGTAAAGAGGAGAAAATACAGCGTAGTTCTTAGGACTGACCACAACAAACTCCGCTTTGATGGCGTCAAACTTGATCTTCTCATGGACTGCCCTGGCCACGTTGTTCCTTTCAAACGGCTCTGCAATACAAAACATTGCTGTGACCAGGTTCAGGTTATTTATTTGTACCAGTAGGTAGATTTTGTTTGCAGAGAAAAAGACAAGGGATCCATCCTGACACTAAGAGCAAACACAAACAACAGACACATCTCTAATAAAAGGACTAGTAAAAAGTACAAGTACACCCTGCTCAACCAAATCTCAAAATATTTCAGAAACATTTTAAGAAGGAATTTACTAGTACAAATATGGACACTCAAAATTCATAATTAAATAAATAAATAAAAATAGGCTTCTGTGTGACACTCCTATGATGTGCTAATTTGTGCAATAGCTGCTGGGATAAAACTGTACACTGGACATGTAGCATTTAGGCTCATGTTTTAGACACATGGTGGTGCAAATGTTTACCTTCCACACAAATGAATTTGTTTCTCCATGTCGGAGAGTTGTTCTTGGGAAAAGCTTTGGCCTCTCGAACAGAGATCACCTTCCTATCCCAACTGCAAGACAATGCAAAAGCAGGGGAATTATTTAATTGTTATTAGAATAAAATGACACAATGAAAAAGGTCCTCAATGACCTCAAGTTGAGCTAATCAACTACAAAATATGCAAACTTTCTTGCCAACTAACAAGGGGATAGATCTGTACCTCAGGCTCAGTTGGTTTTACTTTCATTCAATGCAGTCAATGCAACAAACAAATGAAACTCGCCAAGCAAAGATCATTTGAACATAAAACATTCCTATTTCTATCAAAGATAGAAGATTTTCATGTGGGTTCGGCAAAGTAAATCTTTAAAAAGAATACTATTCATCCTAGTCCTGAGTCGAAATATAGTGTGTCTTGTCCTCATATTATCTGTCATTTAACTAAAGTTTTAAATGACGAAGCTTCACTTAATGCATCAGATGAAAGGTACAGTTCGTTTTTCTGCAAACATCAAATGAAGAGATTTCCGTTACTGCAAATTAAACTTGATGATGGCTGTCAAGAAAGTAGGAAAATGTGTTGATCACTGTAAAAACTTGCAGTAACATAAAGCCCATACAATTTGTAAATCAAAGGCAAAAAAATGCAAAATCAAGGACCTGTTTGTCTGTTTGTGGAATAAAAAAATCTGTGGGTTTTTGTGAGTTTTAGTTCAGCCTTGTGACTGGAGCGTGACCAAGTTAACCAGAACTTCCCAAAAAGTTTGCTTAATTTTAAGGTTTTCGTATTTTTTAACCTAACATTTTATAGTATATATTATTTTGTGTCACTTCCACTTAATTCCCATCTTAAATACTCCTGGGATAGTGCAACCCTACGCGTGTTGCGGTAACACATATATATCGCAAACACAGGGATCATGGTATGTCATGTTAGTGCTGTGTAAGGCCAGAGGTCCCACCTGCTCCTGCCCCTCACCCAGAAACATGAAACCAGGGAAGAGGATGCAGGATAGAGGAGGGAGAGAAGAGATGGGGGACTGGAGAGGTGGGAGAAGTTAGCAAGAAGACAGGAGATAAGGAAAGGGAGCAAGATGGTATGGGTGAATGTGAAACACTAGACTCAGAAATGTGGTGTCTACCTGAAGACCGTGGCATAGTATCCGAGAAAGCCCAGAAGAAGCTCTCCCAGAGAGGACTGGTTGCTCGATATGTAGGGAGGGACGCGTTTGGGCCCCTCTGGGACCATGTCAATGTCCATGAGGGGCAAAAAGGAGTCCTGAAAATCAAGGCACGGGACAAAAAACAAAGACTTAAAACCAAGCACATAATGTGATTTATTTGTGATGAGTACAGGAAAGTCAATATGATGCAGAAATGTCTTCTTTTTAAAAGTGATACGAATTGTAAGGCATGTGCGCAAGGTGTTGAACGTTTTGTATTTTCTATAATTTGCCTATATAACATACTAGTTTGCACTTCTGGTAATTAACCTGGAATACACAGGTTACAATACGTTACAATGAATTGCAAAAACAGTGGAGACACTTACGGGGTAGTCCATCTGTAGAGAGGGAAGGACAGGTTCATTGAGAGCTGTAGAAAAAGCAACAAGATAAGTTTCACATTAAGTAATAAATGGAAACAGAAAGGTCTTTGCCTGTGTGTGAGTGTACTGACTCTGGAGGTAGTGCAGCACCAACAGCACGAGTGTGTAGCTGCTCAACGTTCCTTTGCTGGCATCATTGATATGATTGTGTTGGGCCCATTTCTTGACAACGAGGATCAGGGGTCTTATCCTGAGATCAGCTGAGAGACATCACACAACGGCAGCGGGTCAAAACAAGAAGCATTAAAAGCGCTGCTTGGGAAGGACAGTTGGAGCAGACTT